TATGGCACAACTTTAAAATGAAATTTAAAAAGAAAGCAAAAGAACTATTTGAATTTATCCATCAACCTGCCAGTGAATCAGCAAAATGTAAAATTATTTAAGTGTTGCTCTTCATCATTCTTTTTCTTTGGTTCCTTAGGAAAAGAAGTCCATCATTATCCAGAGATCAGAATAGAAGATACGACCAAAGGGAGGAAAGAGAGGAATACTCACAGTATGCTACGTCGGATGGCGCAATGCCTAGGTCTCCATCAGATTATGCTGATAGGCGGTCTCAACGTGAACCTCAGTTTTATGAAGAGCCTGATCATATAAATTATAGGGACTCCAATAGGAGAAGTCATAGGCATTCCAAAGAATATATTGTAGATGATGAGGATGTGGAGAGTAGAGATGAATATGAAAGACAAAGGAGAGAGGAGGAATACCAGGCACGCTATCGAAGTGACCCGAATTTGGCCCGTTATCCAGTAAAGCCACAGCCATATGAAGAACAAATGCGTATTCATGCTGAAGTGTCCAGAGCACGACATGAGAGAAGGCACAGTGATGTTTCTTTGGCAAATGCTGAACTGGAAGATTCCAGGATGTCTATGCTAAGGATGGAACGACCGTCAAGGCAAAGATCTATATCTGAACGTAGAGCTGCCATGGAAAGTCAGCGATCTTATTCAATGGAAAGAACTCGAGAGGCTCAGGGACCAAGTTCTTATCCACAAAGGACCACAAACCATAGTCCTCCTACCCCCCGGAGGAGTCCAATCCCCCTTGATAGACAAGACATGAGACGCACTGACTCACTAAGGAAACAACACCACTTAGATCCCAGCTCTGCTGTGAGGAAAACAAAACGGGAAAAAATGGAAACCATGTTAAGGAATGATTCGCTCAGCTCTGACCAGTCAGAGTCTGTGAGACCTCCACCACCAAAGCCTCATAAATCAAAGAAAGGAGGTAAAATGCGCCAGGTGTCATTGAGCAGTTCAGAGGAGGAATTAGCTTCCACACCTGAATACACAAGTTGTGATGATGTTGAGATTGAAAGTGAGAGTGTCAGTGAAAAAGGTAAG